TTATTTTGATATATCACAGTGAAAGATTTATCGTCCTCTTTTTTTTTTTTTTTTTTTTTTTTTTTTTAAAAAAAAAAAAAAAAAAAAAAAAAAAAAAAAGACTGTGTCTCAAATACTCAAATATATATATTCAATATTCTTAACCATCAAGGAAATGGAAATTAAAACTACTTTCAGATCCCATCTCACCCAAGTCAGAATAGCAAATGACAAGTCATGAAAGCAAATGACTAGACATGCTAGTAAGGCTATGGGGAAAGAGAAGTTCAGCCACTATGGAAAGGCAATATGGAGATTTCCCTAAAAAGCTAAAAACAGAGCCTGGTAAGATGGCTCACCAAATAAAAATGCTTGCTGTCAAGCCTGACAATCTGATTTCAATCCCCAAGTGCCACATGGCAGAAGTTGTCTTCTGACCTCTACACATATGTAACACACACTAACTATAATTAAATTTTTTTGCTGTTATTTTGAGACACAGTCTCTCTGTAGTCTTAACTAGCCTGGAACTCACTATGTAGACCTGGCTGGCCTCCATCTCTTAGGGATCTGTCTGCCTCTGCCTCCCCAGTGCTGGAATTAAAGGTCTGTACTATCACACTTGGCAATTAAAGTTTAAAATTTTATATATTTCCCCCAGGGGAAAGCATGAATGCAGTCCCCTACTACCACATATTATGAAGTCAAGTTTCCTGAACTTGGGGAAATCGCAGGGGTCAGCACTCCTGGAGTGCAATGGATGAGCTTTACCCTGGGAAAACCACCTTTATGATCATGATATCTCCCCTGCCAGGTAAGTGTTATTATTTATTTTTATTATGTGTATGAGAGTTATGCCTGCATATATGTAAGTGCACCTGTGTCGTGCAATGCTCAAGGAAGACAGAGGGGGAGTTGGATCCCCTAGAACTGGAGTTGCAGACAGTTATCATCTGCCATGTGGGTGCTGAGAATCAAACCTGGGTCTTCTGTAAGAGCAGCCAGTGCTCCGAACCACCGAGCCACCTCTGCAGCCCCCCAATTTTTTTAATTTTTAGGAGGAAAAAAAAAACCAAAATAGAACTGCCATCTGACTCAGCAATAACACTCCTAGACACATCCAAAAGATTCTAAATCCTACTACAGAGATACTTGCATATATATGTTTATTGCTGGCTTTATTAGTAACTGTGGTGATTTAAATGAATGTCTCCCATAGGCTTCAAGTATTTGAATACTTTGTCGCCAGTTGGTGACACTGTGAAGATTTAAGAGATGAGTCTTGCTGGAGGAATCACATCATGAGAGTGGGCTTTGAGAGGATATATATATATATAGCTTGCCCACTTCTAATCTGTCTCTCTCTGCTTCCTGTGTCTGCTTTAAGATGTAAGCTTCGGAGAGGGAGAGAGAAAGGAGAGATACATAATGCCTCATTAGTGTAAAAAAAAAACAGAGAGAAGGCCAAGCATGGTGGCACAGGCCTTTAATTCCAGCACTTGGGAGGCAGAGGCAGGTGGATCTCTGTGAATTCAAGGCCAGCCTGGTCTACATAGCAAATTCCAGGTCAGTTGGGGCTGCAGGGAGTCCCTGTCTCAAAAAGACAAAAAAAAACCCGAGAGGGAATCATATTAGTCCAAAAACCTACTGAAAAATTACACATGCATGAGTCCATGATTACACATGAATCTACACGAGTCCATGTTTATAGCTGAAGGCTACATAACAAGAAAAGTGCCAGACAAAAGAAACCTCCCTTTGAGTTGTTGGCCAGCATAGTCCAAGAGACCCCCAAAATTATACAAGCTATTGCCACAGCCCTTGATTGCCTCCTAGAACTTGGCTATAAGACCCCATTGCTGAAGACAGGGCACAGGGTTTGGAGTAATGAAGCTGGAACTGATCTGGAAGCCACCACCCCTGAAGGCTAGCTCTCATAGTTTTGGAGAACACTTTGAACATTGCTAAGGGAAAACATCAATCGATGGTTCAACCCAAGCTTTAAGGCCTAATAACTACAACAATGACCAGCACAACAAACTATATTGGGACAGTAGTGACACTTTTATCTTGAGAGTAATCAACACCTACCTAACTGGACTTAAAGCCCACTCAATGGGAGGAAACTCATGTGTGATACAGTAAACATAGCCAAATACAAATGGCTGGAAAGATCATTTAGATCTTAGAGAAAACCTCAAGGTTGTCACAGCCCTAGATAAATGTAATTTATTACTATGTTCAAAATATGGATCCTTATATTTACAGACAAGTATGAGTCACCACTCATCAAAGAAGCTTCTTTTGCAATAGATAGTAATTATTACAGAGTTCTACAACTGGTCACACACAGAGATTGTCTGTGAACTGCCCAACCCTAAGTGACACATCTACAATACAACCTCTATACCTAAGGTTCATGGAACATAGAACAAGGGGTGAAGAGAACACTAATGCATCTTTTACTTCTCATCAATGAAGCTCCTTCATGCAACAGAGGGCCAGGAACACAAAAGGACACAAACAGCCAAAGCATAGAGAATAAGTGTTTGCAGAGTGTGGGTCCTTGGTCAGGACTCCTATATTAAAAGCTACCCACCCAGAACTCAAGGACCATTGTGGAAGAGGGGATGGAAATATTGTAAGGGCCAGGGGAGCAGGTGCATGACCATATGGAAATAGAGTCCTACTGGCTCCTGGGACCCTGCTCATATGAACCTACAGCAATGGTGTCAGCATGCACAAGACCCATGCAAACTCAAGCAGACAAAAACCCAGCTTAGAACTGTGAAAATGGACAACAAGCCCCAATCTTAGGGGTAGAACTATTGGCAGCTGACTACTGCTGGGTGAAGAAGAGCTGATCTTCTTAAAGGGAAGGACTCTAGATAGGGTGACTATACTTCAGTGGATGAACATGATCTGGGGACACTAATTTGACTTGATAAGCCTTAACACAAATGATAGAATGCATAAAATCCAGTTGGGGAGGCTATGGGAGGGTGCCAAGGGGGAAGGGGGAATAAAGATAATTAAGATGTTCTGTATGAAATCCACAAAAATTCAATAAAAATTTACAAAACATAAAAAAGATGAGAGTGCTGGGACTGGAGAGAAGGCTCAGCAGTTAAGAGCACTGGCTGCTCTTGCAGAGGGCCCAGGTTCAGTTCCCAGCACCCATAGGTCGGTTAACAACTGTCCATAACTCCAGCTCCAGGGGATCCAATGCCCTCTTCTGACCTCTACAGGCATTGCACAACACAGGTGCACCTACCTGCATGTAGGCAATACACTCATACACATAAAATTAAATAATAAATAAAATATTTTAAAAATCATATTAAAAATGATGTGAGCATTCTTCTTCCTGGTTCTGCCATCTCTGCTGTCATGCTTCCCCACCAAGATGGACTCATCTCTTTGGAGCCATAAACCAAAAAAATCCTGCCTTCTGTAAGCTTCCTTGATCATGGTGCTTTATCACAGCAACAGAAAATTAACTAATACAGAAGTTGGTACCAGAGAGTAACCTATTGATGTGACTAACCTGACTATGGTTTTTTGAGGCATGTAGAAGACTTTAGGAGTTTTGACTAGAAAATCTATTGACTCTGTAAGCAGGTGTTCCAGAGGAAGATGGAAACAAGGACTTAAATGGAAACTGGGATATTTTGAAAAGAAGTCCAGCTGTCATCTACCCAAGGTCTAAGAAGTTGCCAGAAGCTAAATTAAAAAATTAACAGACTAATGTCTTTGGGAAGGAGTTTTCAAGCAGTCTAATGTACAATCTGTGGCATGGCTATTAATGGAGAATATTATGCAGCTCTCCAATGTAAAAAGAGCAAATGGAGCAGAAAGAAATATAAAATGTACAGTTTGGATTGAAAAAGCACTAGGAAGCTTAATAATGTTGGAACCAAGGCATATGCTGAAACAGAGGCTCTCTTTGATAAGGATATTAGAGCCATTAAGGAGAGACTTCCAGATTTGCATTTGAACAGGAAAAAATACCCTCAGGACAAGACCCCACCCAACTAAGTTTCCTTTGGAAGTAAAGTCCTAGGCATTGGAAATGGTATAGGATTTGATGTTTGCCCTGCTGGTTTTTGGTCTTGCTTTGGTCCAATATTTCCTCAATGTCTCCATTCCTCCCTTTGGAATTGGAATGTGTACTCAGTGCCATTGTATTTGCAAGTATGTAATGTGTCTTTTTTATTTTTCAGGAGCTTTCAGTTAAGAGTTCCTTGAATCTCAAAAGAGACTTTGGAATTTTAAATGTTTTTTTAACTTTTTAAAAATTTTATTTATCATTTTTATTTTATGTGTATGCATGTATTGCCTGTATGCAGGTAAGTGCACCTGTGTTGTGCAATTCCCTCAAAGGTCAGAAGAGGCTGTCAGATCCCCTGGGACTAGAATTACAGACAGTTGTTAGCTGCCGTGTGGGTGCTGAAATTCGAACCCAGGTCTTCTGCAAGAATAACCAGTGTTCTTAACCGCCGAGCCATCTCTCCAGCCCTGAGACTGGAATTTTAAACAGTGTTGCAACTGTTAAGAATTGTAGGGATTTTAAGGTTGGACTAAATGCATTTTGCATTATGATGTGGCCTTGAGACTATGGGGGCCAAGGGGTGTGGTGGCTCAAATAAATGTCCCCCATAGGCTCCAAGCATTTGAGCATCTTGTTCCCAATTGGTGGTGCTGTTTGCAGAGGTTTAGGAAGTAGGCCTTGCTAAAGGAAGCACATCACTGGGAGTGGGCTTTGAGTATATAGTTTACCCACTTCTGGTTGCTCTCTCTCTCTCTCTCTCTCTCTCTCTCTCTCTCTCTCTCTCTCCTCCAGTGCCTGCTTGAAGATGATGAGAGGACTCAGCTTTCTACTTCTGCCACCTCTACCACCACATGTCCCACCATAATGGACTCTTCTGGAATCATAAGCCAAATAAACCCTTCCTTCTAGTGGCTTTGGACATGATGTATCATCACAACAACAGAAAAGTACTAATGCAGCAAGGAAATGGAACCAGTCTGGATGTCCAACAACAGATAATGCAAATGTGGTAAACATGTACAATGGAATTCCTTACAGACATAAAGAAAAATGAAATAACGAAGTGAATGGATCTGAAAATGATTCTACTAAGTAACTCAGACTCAGAAAGACAAATACCACATGTTCTCTCTCACATGTGATCCTAGATTTTAATTTTTGTATGTGTGTATATGTGTGTAGGGAGGTATGGGTCATAAAACCAGAGAGGAAACCATGAGAAGGGAAAAAGAGGCTTTACAGAAGGAGGTAGGAAGGTTATAAAATACACGTGACAGGAGAGTAAACAGGGGTCTCCTTGTGGGAATGAAGGGAAATAAGGGAGATGGGTAGCAGAGGAGGACTAAGAAAAAAAAGTATGTATGAAAATACCATAATAAAAACCATTACTTTGTATATAAATTAAAAACAAATAGGGGCCTGCAAAATAGTCCAATAGGTACTGAGGCTTGCCACCAAGTCTGACACCCTGAGTTTGATCCCCGAGACCCACATGTTTGAAGGAGGGAAGCAACTCACACAAGTTGCCCTGTGACTTCTATACTCACATCATGGCACACCTCCAGTAGATAGATAAATGTAAGTGAAAAAAGCAAATTTTCAAATGAAGAAAGGGGCTAAGAGATAGCTCAGTGGTTAAAAACACTTGCTCTTCCACCCCATTTCTCCTCCTAGCATGGGCACTGGCCCATTTATTCTCTTGGCACCCCAGACCACTGGACTACCTTCTTGGCCCAGACTCTCCACTGCTTCCTGATCCTTTGCACCCAGA